ACTTTTTCAACAACTCAACATTCTAGTGCCAGCTAAGCTAAGGCAACTCTCCCTTGTTCTAAACAAAGGTGTTCTAAGTCTGTATCTACTAGTGTGGTTTTTACGCTATAATCTAAAGGTCTAAAATTAAGTTGCTCAAACAAAACTGAAGCTCTTTGTTTCTCAGAGATCTGGGCCTCTTTCATCTTTATATGTCATCCATAAGATTGCGTTTTGGCTACCATCACCACCTGTGCTCTACCCATGATGCCCGTATTCTGGACAGTAGGGAAGATAAAGGGGTATTGGGACTTTTGGACTATGAAGTTATCAAATCAGGCCTAGACTGCCTGCATAGGAACTTCTTTTCTTTGAAAAAGAACTCACATTTTATATAAAGAGACAAATTATAAAGAGACAGTTGTTCCACTTCTGGTTTTCTAGTCTAACTTTGTAGCCTATAGTCTAGCCTGGAGCTTACAATGCAGCCCAAGCTGCCCTTAAACACATAGCAATTCTTCTGCCCCAGGATCCCAAGTACTGAGATTATAGGCATGTGCCACCACACCCAGCCTTTTCCAGAAATCTATTTCTCTGTGTATAAGGACATAAATTAACCACTGTGTGGTTAGGGTCAGAGTTTGTTGGCTCAAGGATCAGGAAGACAGATCAAGGACAGCTTCTCCACTCCATGTTTGAGGCCTTAGCATAAGTGACTTGAGAAGACCACTGATGACTCGAATCTGAAAAGAAGAACCCACTTCAAGATGGCTCCTTGGGCCAGTGAGATGGTCCAGTTGGTAAAGAGATTATCATGCAAGTCTGACCACCTGAGTTCAATCCCCAGAACCCACATAAAGTGGAAAGAGAGCTGACTCCACAGAGCTGTCCTCTAACTGCCACATACATGCCATAGCAGTCATGCACATACATTCATTCATCATGCACATACACAATAATCTAAGTGAATAAATAAACTGTGTGGGATTTCTTTTAGATTATAATATATCAATATAACTTCTCCCTTCCATTTCCCCCATCCAAACCCTCCCACATACCTCTTCTTGCTCCCTTTCAAATTCATGGCTTCTTTTTCTTTTCTTTTCTCTTCTTTCTTTCTTTCTTTCTTTCTTTCTTTCTTCCTTCCTTCCTTCCTTCCTTCCTTCCTTTCTTTTCTTTTTTTTTTTTTTTTAGCTGAGGACTGAACCTGGGCCTCAGGCATGCGAATCAAGTGCTCTACCATTGAGCTAAATCCCTAACTCCCTATTTTTTGTTTTTAAACGATGGGTCCATTCACTTCCCTGAGACCTGGGCTGGGAAGTTCAGAAAGGTTGGACAGGCTCACTGAGCTGTCTGTCAATCACAGCACCTTCCCATGGTTTTCCCCATGGTCAGTCTCCTGGGTGAGACTGAGATGGTGGGAGCAGCTGGCCTTTATGACTAGGCCGAGAGCACAGAGCTGTGCTTCCACAGACATCTATCTATTGGGGGAAGCCGTCACAAGCAGGGGACAAAGAACTCACCTCCAAATAAGAGACATGTCAAAAAGCATGTGGCAATGTTTTAAATCCTAGCATGTAATATTTGAATACTTAAACTCAACCTTCATCCTCATTTACTAAGTGGGCATCACATTCCAGGTTCTGTTGTTAGCATGATCCTTTCTAGAAAAAAGCTGTTAGATAGGAATTATATTTTGTCTCTGAAAGGCGTTGGCTCTAACGATGTCCATAGGAATGCAGTCTAAGGTCCCTGCACAGAGTGTGAGGGAACCTGCTTCTGCTGGTTCTTTGCTCTGCCATTCCCTGCACAGGTCTTGGCCAGAATGAGCTCTGGAAGTTCAGCAGTACATCATTGTTCCAGACCACAAAAGATAGGAGAATAAAAAAAAAATACTAATAGCCAGGCAAGGTGGCACACACCTTTAATCCCAGCACTCTGGGAGGCAGAGGCAGGTTGATCTCTGTGAGTTTGAGGTTAGCCTGGTCTACAGAGTGAGTTCCAGGACAGCCAGGACTACACATAGAAACCGTGTCTCAAAACACCAAAAACAAACAAACAAACAAACAAAAAACAGATTTTCTTCCTGTTAAGAAGACTTCCTGGAAGCTCTACACCTTAGGCTCACATAACTATAACCAGAACTTCATCTCATGACCACACTTGCCTGCAGGGAGCCTGGAAAATTTAGTTTTTTACTTAGATGGCAATGTGCCCAAGTACAAAGTCACAGTCATATTGTTAAAGGTGTCTTCCGTGAAGTACCTACTAGACACCCATGCCCTACTAGCTACATTTCAAGTGACCTCCATGACATAGAAAAGTGGCCGCAGAGAAATTAGAACAGAGATGGGGGCTTTCTTCACAGGCCAAAGAAGCTGCTCTCTCCTTCCAGGCCTTTAAGCCACTCTGCAGTGTAAGGTGCTGGACTTGGTCAACATCTACAGATAGCCATTGGACATAACCCAAGACAAACCAGTGACCAAGGAGTAAGGACAAAAGCCTTCCACAAGAATAGCAATAGAACTTAGGCAAACATTGCCTTTTCTCTTGTATACACAGTCTAGATTTAGAAAGAAGTTTGATGCTAGAATACGAACTATTTAGGAAGAGGAAAGAGTGAAGTGGAGAGAAGAGGAGGGACCTGAGGGCAATGAAAGGACGAATGTGATCCAGGTACATGATATACAGTGTGAAAATGTCAGATGAGAGGCTGGAGAGGCTGGCCTCAGTAAATAAAGAGCTTGCTGTGCAAGCACAAGGACCTGAGATTGGATCCTTAGCATCCCCGTAAAAGCTAGATGCCTGAGTGCATAATGGTAACTTCAGGGTGGGGCACTGGCCAGGCAGCCTAGTGAATCAGTGAGCTCCAGGTTCAATGAAAGACCTTGTCTCAAAAACTAAGGTGGAAAGCAATGGACAAAGACACTTGGCGTCAATCTCTGACCTGTACACACACATGCACATGTGCACATATATCCACGAGAACACACACACACACACACACACACACACACACACACACACACCACAAAATATAATGAAAGGCATAATTTTACACAATTAACTTTATGCTAATAAAATTGTATGATTATCTTTTTTTAGTAAAAAATATTTTTTCTGGCCAGTGGTGGTGGTGCACACCTTTAATCCCAGCACTTGGAAGACAGAGGCAGGTGAATCCCTGTGAGTTTGAGGCCAGCCTGGTCTACAAGAACTAGTTCTAGGACAACTAGGGCTACACAGAGAAACC